AGGATACCTTGCAGAATAACAGTGATTTAAATACATTGTATGATAGAGAAAATAAAAAACTAATGGCAACAAAATTAATAAATTCGGAAAATACTTTTAACATACCACCCGAAAAAATATTAGAAATATATAAGTCAGCTGTTCCATGGTCCAATTACTATACTTTTTTGCATGTTTTTATAAAACTTTTATTAAAAATTCAAATATTCTTATTTTTAAGTAAACGTAAATAAAGTTTAAACAAAATTATGCATTAAGTATAAAAGCAACTTCCCTTACCACTTAAACCTCTTTAAGAATTTTGTTTAAATCCACTCATAAAAATATTTTGTACTTTTCCATAAAATCAAAATAATTAAATTTTTGCTTAACTTTGCTGTATTCGAATCGCCAACCTAATTACGTACCGTAGAAACAAATCATGTTAAATGAGCTTGGCGCTGAAGGTTTTTACATTTTATTGGGAAAATTGTTCGATGGAAATCGGCTAAATTGAATGTTGTTTGTTTAAACGGGTCGGAAATGCACTTTAAAACCAATTTATTCGTTCATTTTATTAAAGGATTATTATGACTTTTTGCGGGTATAATTGAATGCTGGGCCGGAGCAAAACAAATTCAACTTTTTCTGCAATTTAAAGAAAGTATTGAGCCTGCAGAAATTTAATTGATAAACGAATATTTTTTAAATCTTTTAATTAGGTATTATAAAAAATATAGTAGTTGTAAAAGCATACTAAAAATATCAGTTCACTAAGTAAATTAAACACATCCAAAGCAATCGAATCAATTATAAAATATTATTAAAAATTAAAAGAAATAATTTTTATAACCATTTATGTAGGTGTTACAAAAATTGATTCTATCCTCCGTGAATCTGTTTTTGCTTTAAATTTTATGCAACGGATGGCGCTTTAATCATTTTAAATAAGCAAAAACCTCTGTTTACGACATTATTGATGCATGTGATTCCTGAAGGTCAGTTAGAATTTAAATGCAGATGAGAGTGTTGCTGTTTTATAATTCAAAAGTTTAAGTTCGTTAATTTGCTGTTTAAAAAGCTATCCACCGTGAAGTGTAATATCTCAGAAAGTAGATTTTTTTATAAATATTTTATGTATACATACATAAAATTGTATTTTTAAAAAATATTAAGATACAATAACTTATTTCAAATATACAAAGGGATGTTTTAAAAAAACATACGAAATCCTAACCTCCGTGAAGCTCTGTATGCATTTTTGATTTGTACTGTGCCTGTCCAAACATTATTATTGCTGCATCCATTACGAAAATTCATTTTAAGAAGTTATTATTGTTGGAATTTTTCTCTAAAAGCCAGTTGCAAAAATTGACTATGCTTGTAAAATCCCCTGGCTTCAAATCTTGCAACCTTCGTACGTGTTAAGACTAAATTTCTTACAAAAATCTCTAAAGTGAATCGATTTCCTGCAAAACTCATTTTTAGCGGTTACAACGTTCTTACAGCAAAATATTTAATTAAGACTATGATTTAGTTTTGACTTACTTTTGACCTAGTTTTTTGCTATTAAAATAATTATAATTTATTTCGTATAATTACGGAAAAGTTTTAATGAGTCTATATACTTTGTAAACCTTTTTGTTCGATTTTTACGTTTAAAAGCTTTACAAATAGTTCACTATTTATGCACTGCTACGCAATTTTGTTTTACACTAGGATGAATATTGTATAATACAGTGACCAAATTGATTGAACATTTCGGATTTTTTTTCTCAAAACAATTGTTTAACAAATTTACGTTTTTTTTTACCTAACTTTAAATAATATTTTGGATGTATCTGGTAACTTAATATGCTCTATAACCTTTGTTACAAAAGCCGTAAACTTTATATGATTTATAACCGTTCTATTAAATGAGCGTCTGTTAGGTTGGCAAACCGTATTGTCATTAATTTTACATTTATGACGAAATAGATAAAACAGAGCCTGTGCGGAATAACATATCGTTATAATTTATAGTGTTACTTAATTTATAGAAGTTGCTGTAATCAATAAAATTCAGCTGCAAAATTTGAAATGTCGGTTTTGATATTATCATATTTAATTTTTGAATTTTAACGATATTTTTTTAAGTGAAAATATTATTAAAAAAAATATAAACGGTACAGTTGAACTTAAAAAATCTTAAGTTTTTAATGATAATATTAAAGGGTGAATATATTAGAGCTTCACGGAGGTTAGGATTTCGTATGTTTTTTTAATACATCCCTTTGTATATTTGAATAAGTTATTGTATCTTTTGACACCTTAATATTTTTAAAAAATACAATTGTACATAAAATATTTATAAAAAAAATTACTTACTTAGATATTACACTTCACGGTGGATAGGTTTTTAAATAGCAAATTAATGAACTTAAACTTTTGAATTATAAAACAGCAACACTCTCATCTGCATATAAATTCTAACTGACCTTCAGGAATTACATGCATGCATGCATCTATAATGTCGTAAACAGAAGTTTTTGCTTATTTAAAATGATTACAGCGCCATCCGCTGCATAAAATTTAAAGCAAAAACAGATTCAGATTATAAAAATTATTTCTTTTAATTTTTAATAATATTTTATATTTTAAATTTTTTTTCTGTTCTCACCATTTAAATACAGCTGCTCACAGAATTTATTTAAGGAGTCATACAGGGGCCAGAAGAAAAATGACCGAAAATATAAATTTTAACAAAATGTCATTCGGTGGAATGACCCATATATTGAAAATCACAGACAAGCACCCGAAATCAAAAAAGTACATTTACATTTTGATTGTGGTTTTTACACTTTTTTTGTCAAACAAATTGTAAATGCGAGAGAACATGAAAAATCCATTATTCTTTTTGATAAATCCATTATTAACACTTTGCAGCAGACCAACATAACTAACACTATTATTTCCGACGTGTCAATTTGTAAGCCAAATCCAATGTCGATATAATTAAATTTCACAGTTGGATAAACAAATAATTTTAAACCAGTAGATATTTTTGCATTAGTCCCATTTTTATTCAATAAAAAATCATTGAAATTTTAATAAGTAAGGTAGAAATTTTGGGCCATTGGTTGCACTAACGCAAAATATGCTTGCAAAGTGGGCAATAATCTACCTTCATTAAAAATATACTTTTGTGTTTCATTGATTAATTTGTTGATGAATGTTTTTTGTTTTGCATAACCGAACTGTCAGTAATCAATGATAACAAAGTACTATGCTCCACACCTCAAACTCCCACCACGTGACCACGTACGGAATGCAGTCTTTTGAAAATTTGTCATTTAAGGCTTTTTAGGTTATGTATCTGTCAAAGTATAGTCAACGAAAGAATTAATATTATGTTTAGGCGTTAAAAATGTATAAATCTCTATAACATTACAATAACAATGGACGGTTTAAGAATTTAAGAATTAAGCATTTAATGAAATTTTAAAGTGTATGGTGCCAAATAAGTAATATTTTTGTGCATTTGGTCCAAATATCTGGTTTTCTCCATAAAATAATTTTAACTAAACAGCATTTATTTAAAAAAATCTAGCTTCTCTATTATGGAATAAGAATATCTGTACTAAAGGTAGGTTAATATATTATAACAAAAATATCATCTAATTTTGTAATTTTAAGGTTAGAAAAATTTATTTTGACCAAAATAAATAAGTATTTTGGATTATTTAAAAGACTGTATAATATGGTAGTTAAAAATGTGGTAGTTTTTCTTATCCAGCTTAAAGTGTACCTACATAAAGTTTTGTCAATACAAATAGTTAAAAAGCTTCGACTGAATTTGATCTACATCAAAAAATCATTATAACTTTAATATTTTAATAAATCACATGTCATGGGAGTATTAAATTTTTTCACATTGCAAGTTTCTCTAAAAATTGTTTGTTTTCTTTTAATCTAACTTAAAGTAGGTATGCCGAGAGGTATGCACAAGTTTTGTCGTTAGAAGTATAAAAGCTTCAATTTAATTTGAACTATATTCAACAATTATTTAGTATACCTATATTTATTTATGACCATATTAACACACTCTTTCAAATAATCAACTTATTTATTTTGGTCAAAATAGATTTTTCTAACCTTAAAATGCAAAATTAGATGATATTTTTTGTTCTAATACATTAACCTACCTTTGATACAGATATTATTATTTCATAATAGAGAAGTTAGATTTTTTTTTAATAAATGCTGTTTAGTTAAAACTATTTTATGGAGAAATGTAGACCCAATGCACAAAAATATCACTTATATTGAAAAACCGGCCCTTATTGTGATACTATAAAGATTTATTAACTTTTAACGCTTAAACATAAGCGGTAGCACTATAAATATTATTTCTTTCATTGACTATACTTTGACAGATACATAACCTGAAAAGCCTTAAATGCCAAATTTTAAAAAGACTGCGTTCCGTACGTGGTCACGTGGTGGGACTTAAAGGTGTGTAGCATAGTACCTACTAACCGAATACCTGTTTCTTTTTTGCTTGGAAGAATAATATCATTGTTTTTAATATTTCCACACTACAAATAATGAATATTCCAAGGTTATAATAATTATTATAAAACCTTTTTTGCAGTTAACGCCCTTCAAAATATTTTAACACATTTATAAATGCCAGATAAAATTTATAAACCCTTAAAGGTTACCCATAAAAATGCTTATTAGGAAAAAAGCAATAATCAGATGAATAATAATTAACGCTTGAGTAAATAGTTCTTGGCGATTGAATCAAGAGAAAAAAATACTGCAAAAACGCAAACCTCGGCGTTTCGTGTTAATTTATTTGCGCCTAAACGAGAAGTGGGATTGTAGGTATGGGAATATCGAATCGTTTAAAGAAACTTAGATCGCATGTAGCACGCATTGGTAGCTACAGTAAAGTACACGCTTTGAAGTTCTACATACATAACTACCCCGTCATTTTATTTTGAAAATGTAATAATATTATTTCTTTAAGTACTTACCCATTATAAGCATGATTACGGGCAATATGGACAAACACACCAGCACGATGGTTACAACCACTGTAAAAAAAAACAAAATACATTAGGAAAGTCATTTATACATAACAAAATGTTTATTTAAAAAATTGTAACAATCGAAACGTTTTTGTGTTCAAAAATTTTCTATGGGTAAACAAAACAAATTTAAGTAAAAAAATATGTGTTTCAAATCAAAATTTTTTGTGGTTTATTATTCGTTAGTTATTAGATTCTAATTAAAAAAATAATCGTAGATTATTAATAATTAAGATATTTTGTTTGCAAGTGATGCCAGAATTGAATAATTTTTTTTAACCTTGTTTCTACATCTAAATGTTACATTTTTTTCAAAAAAAAAAAAAATTCATCCATTGACCGCTGTGGTTTTCAGGCGTTAAGTCACTCTACTAGTAGCTGTGTTAAAAATAGATAAATTCGATATTTTGTAATAACATTTTTTATTTAAAAACATATCGATTTAAAATTAAGATAAAATGTAGACCTTATTAGTGGAAATAAATCCACGTATTATTTTTTTTTAGATTTTAACATCAACACAATTTAATTTAAAATTTTACCATTTTTTAAGGGTTAAAAGGTCTAAGAAGCAATGTTGTTTTATAATTTTGAGTATATCACGTTAAAGTACTGATAATTAACTATTTTTTGATATACCGTACCTTCATTTGCAAGCTATACATAGGGAAAATACATTGTAGGTGGAACATACAAGTCGAAGTCAGCGCGAAACGAAAATGTTCCCAGAAATTATTTTGACGAGTGGATGAGTAGACTAACATGCGACATAACAGGTGGCCTTGTTTACTGGCGATTAAAATTTTATTACCTCCTTGTCTGGTCCACCTACAATGTATTTTCCCTATGTATAGCTTGCAAATGAAGGTACGGTACACACTTCTACATGCAAATTTTGTTTCTATGAAAGACATCAATTTTTAAGTTGCCTTCAAATTGCATAATACTAACTTGTTTTACAAAGTATATATTCTTTTATCTAGTTTTATAAGTTAATGTATTATATATTATTACATATAATATATTAAATATAACATACAATTCTTACATTTTATTTAAAAAAATCGCCATAGAATGAGCTAAAATTAGTTTTTTCAAGTTTACTAATTTTGATCATAGTAGGAATCATAGACTTTTCTCTATGGTAACCTGCCATTGAAAGCATGAAAGATAATTTGACAGTTCAGTTTATAAGTTGCAAATGACTGATTGCGTTTCAATTTATAAGTGTACTATATACTCAAAACATTAATTTATTAAAATTAATAAACTAAATAATTATTATAGACAGTGTCAGCAAGTTAGTTTTATTTTTTACTCGATAAGCAAGCTTCAATTTTAATTCCAAACTAAGGAAAGTAATATTTACATAATAAATAAATTATAAAAAAGACTTGTTTTTCGATTTTTTGTAGGTAATAAGTAATTTTGCATTTTTTTATATTTTTAATATATACAGGGTGTTTCTAGACAAACGCAAAAGATTTGGATTTGAAATTTTAATAGCATATACAATTTTATTTAGACTATACCTAAAGTCAATAGTTTTCAAGATATTAATTTTTTTTGTTAAAATTTTGCTAAATGCACATTAATCAAAAATACGTAGCCTCTAATTTTTTTGTTATTATGTTTGCTGACATGGGGATGGAATTTTAGGAATATTAAAATATTGTTTAAATAATTTAATTTTTTAAAGGTTTTTCAACACATACTTTGAGAAAAAACACTTGAACAAATTTCAAACATAAATAACGTTTTTATTATAAATGTTAAACCTTGTATGTTTTAACATAATCAAATAGAAAATAAGAAAGTTAAAGACGTTATCATTTTGTTCAAAATAATTTTGGAAAATAATTTAATAATTTACGCTATTAAAATTTTAAATCGATATCTTTCGCGATTCTCTAGAAACTTCTAACGGACTACGTACGTAAAAAACCCTGTATATTGAACGTCATTTATGTGTTATGCTATACTTAATTATTAATAAAAGATACAGCAATTTGTATAAAACTGACAAAATGTACTAAACTAAACATTTATGAATACTGCTACTGCTAATTCAAGACTGATCCTGGCCACAGAAACATCATTTGCATAAAAAAGTTGATGTATCAAATAATAGTCAAATATCAATATTTTAACGTGTTATACTTAAATTTATAAAACAAAGTTGCTTCTTCGATTATTTACCCTTTAAAAATTGTTAAATTTTAAACTAAATTATCACCAGCGCCCCCTGTATGTTAAAATCTAAACATGAGTTAATTGTCATTAGTAAGATCTACATTTTGTTCAAATTTCAAATCGATACGGTTTGAAATAAAAAAGTTATTTAAAAATGAAATTTCTTTGTTGTCAAACGAGATTTTTTTTTAATACTGCACTTAGATGTACAGCATATTAAACATTTAGTTATAATTGACTGTCATTTTATGCTAATTTAATATTTCAACCAATACATTTCATAAAATTCATAATAAATTAATAGTCATTTGTCAAATTATCCAGTTGAACCGTGCTTTAATATAATTAATGGCTATGTCTAAAATTTATAAACCGAAATAATAAATGATGGTAAAATGAGCGTAACAAATTGATACAATTTAATGGTAGCAAAGTTTCGTGTTTATATTTGTTTTTGAGTATGCCTTGAAGTAATTTCATATTGTTTTATTTGTAAAGTTTAAATTAGGAGTTATTTATCAAATTAAACAAAAAACATCTCATTAGACAAACTTGCAAACCCTGTATCTAAACAATATATCATTAGGCCAAAGTAATTCTAGCTATCGCATTACGTGGGCCCCAATATTCCTATTAACAATTAACCTCTGCGGTAAGCAGACATTAAAGCGTTATATTAGGGCATTAAGAAAACCACATCTGAAAAGCTATTACCAATCTCCACTGAAATGGTGCTCCACTTCCCTTCCTAAAGCTAAAGGACTTCTTGGAACATTCGAAGTACGAAGAAATACTCAAAAAAATATCTAGTAGTAGTATACTATAGTACATTGCACAAAAATGCTTTAAACGTAGGAAAACTGTATTGATTTTCATGAAGCATATTATTTTTCTTATAAACAATCCAACTCTAGATTTAATTGCCATGTTGTCGCTTTGTGACGCTGGGTAAAGCTTTTTTTATACGTAAAATGATCCCGTTGAAAAATTCTAAATAAAAGGACGTAGATCGATACTTGAGTTAATTAGAAACGGCATGATCTTGACTCCTAATTGACATACAATTTAAATTAGAAGTGTAACACAAAGTTGTTTGTGCAAAGTGGAATTGAATAAAATTAAATTTAATTAAAAAGTTTTCTTAGGTTATCCAATTTAACTGTAATTACGATGAAAGAATGTTTAGAAGGATGGTAAAAATAAATAAAGGAGTTAAGTATTTTGTCTATACACGTTTTTTATTCTATGACGTCTTCGTCCTTGGTTGTGTTTTTAATAAGACTTTACAATTTTTACATACATAAAATATTTATAAAAAAATCTATTTATTGAGATATTACACTTCACGGTGGATAGGTTTTGAAATAGCAAATTATATTATATATAATGTTGTAAACAGAGGTTTTGCTTATTTAAAATGATTTAAGCGCCATCCGTTGCATAAAATTTAAAGCAAAAAAAGATTCACGGAGGATAGAGATTTCTTTAAACCTAACATTATATTAATGGGTTGTACATCTTCAATAAATTTATCTTAATTTAACAGACAAATTCCATAAAGCATTTTTATCTGCATTTGAGAAAACTTGTGGGATTTGTGGTAAAATATGTAAAATAAAATTGAATTCGGTGAAACCCTTTACCACAAAAATCCTGACAAAAGGTTAGTTCTACTTTTTCGGACACAACTCGGCTTCTTATTGATTTTATGCAGAACTATGTCGAGTGGCTTTTTACATTTAAATAGTTGTTTATACTAAAATTATTTTTATTATTATTTACAAGATTTTATGTTAATACAGCTCCACAAAACTTGATAACAAACTACAAACTAATGTTAGCAAATCTGATTTTTATAACAGTGTAAGTTAAAAAAATATATAAACTTGTAGAAATGAAAAAAAAACAATCAAATAATATAATAAAAACATGAAAAAGTTTATTGATCTTCATTAAAAATATTAGAAAACACAATAAAATGAAAAAAATGTTTTTCTTCTTTATTTTTGACATATTAATGGCAGCCCTTGTAGCAGGGTTATATTTTATAAACTACATTGCACAGGATATTAAAAAGGAGATCATCATTATTTACTACATTCATCTATTAAAGTTACACGTTTAAAAGTCCATTACCTAGCGTCATACGTGTTATTTTTTACACAATACATCACAAGGGTCATAAAACTGACATATTTATCAAAGCCTCTTTATTTTGTAAAAAAGTACCTTGCTATAGGGTTAAATAAATATTACACGACATAATTTTTATATATTTAGTTTAATTAAAAAATAGGAACATTTTGGATTTGACGTGTTTTTATTTTGTTTAATTTATTAAGATTTATACAAAATCAATTATTATTATTTTTATATTTTTTATTATAAACCAAAAATTAAACTATATTAAAAAATTTAATTTCCACAGACATTTTTATTTTTTATAGGAACATTTTTTTTATTATTGGTTAGAAAAATCCTAAAATAAATTCCTATTCAATTTAAACAATATTAACTACTTATATTAATTACATTTAAAAATCTTGAAAGTTTTTATAAACGTCATCCCAGTGAACACATGAAGTTGGTTTTACATCACTAATGGGTCATAATATAATATAGGTAACAAAATTTACGTAAATTTGACATAATAGTTACATAAATAAATACTTGTAATACATAAATTATTTATGGTTTTATTTATTATTTAGTTACAATTGATATCAGGAGAATCGCGGTCACCTCCGCGGTCATTTTTGTTACGTCAATATCTGACGAAAATAAGTGAGAATTAATTAGTCATATCTTATGTA